GTTTTTGTGGGCCAATATTGACTATATATATGTGTGTGTGTGTATATATATAGACAGAGAGAGAGTATAGACACCTTTTTCTTCTTTGAATGGTAACCTACCGACCATTTGTATGTTGAAGTCCTATCCCCTAATACCTCAGAATGTGACTGTATTTAGAGACAGGGCCTTTAGAAAGGTAATAAAGGGAAAAGGAGGTCATATGGGTGGGCCGTAATCCAATATGACTGAAGTCCTTACAGGAAGAGGAGATGAGGACACAGATATGCACGCATAAAGGAAAGACCACGTGAAGACATGTGGAGAAGTCGATCATCTGCAAGCCAAGGAGAGAGGCTCAGAGGAAACCAACCCTGCCAGTCAACACCTTGACCTGGGACTTTCAGCCTCCAGAATTGCGAGAAAATACATTTCTGTTATTTAAGTCACCCGGTTGTGATACTTTGTTAAGGGCAGCCCCCACAAACTGATAGACCGCTAGAATGGTGCTTATCAATTTTGTTATGCTGTTAATTTGTTTCATTTGCTTTCCAACACAGTTTTCTCCTTTCTCACTCACTGATATCCTGACATTTGACTTCCTGATCAGAAATGGAAGTGATGGGGTTGGACAGCAGGTGTTGGAAACTCAAATGCCTTAGGGACCATGCCTGTGGATGTGCCAATCCGGGATATAGAATAAAGACATGCGGTGGTTGCTGTCACAATGAAGGGACATTTAAAGACATTCAGATTCCAATGCTTTAAAGCCCTGTGCCAGCCCAAATGAATAAATAAGTCCTTACCTGGACTGTCTGGCAATTGCAGTCCCTGCTCCAGTACAACCTGGGCCTCATCCCCATATTCCCTTGATTTATTACAAGGGGTCCATAAACACAGGTGCCAACCAAACCTTGTCTGTAGTCTCTGTAATGCCACTCATATACTCACCTCTTAGTAAATTAAATTGCAAACTCACTTGTTAAATTCAAATTCATTTCAGAATCTTTTTTGTCCAATACTTTCTTCATCATGATGATATATGGTGTTTATCCAGATTTTTAAAAAATTCACTTTTTGAATTATAAAAGTCATGCATATGTATATGTTTATTGTGAAAATATACATTTCTTTTCCTCCTGTGGATCTTCCCCTTGGAATTCCAGTTCTAATTCTACTTCTTGTGTGAACCCCTGAATATGCACCCAAGCCCATTCATTTTTCTAGGCCCCTCACAGCAGCTCTAGCACCTCCACCTAAAAGGATTGAAAGGGAAGATGGGACCCCATTGTAGAATATTTGAAGTGGTTACTCACCAGCCCTGTATATACATATTAAAATTCTCTGAGTTGTTATAGCAGCTGTTGCAACTGAAAATAATTCAGCAAACAGGATCATTTTCTGTGTAGTTTATGGGCTCGGGAACAGTGCAGAAGCTTTGGAATTTGAGTTACCGTCAGCCCGCTGCTCAGCCAATCTCCACATGTCACAGGCTGGTAATTTGATCTACAGCTCCCTTGAAGTGAGTTTGTACTGAACATGGAAAGCTCTTTTTTGCCCCTTTTTGCCAAATGCTAAATGGCCTTTTATGTGTGTCTTTTTTCCCCTTACAAAATCACGATTTGATTCAACAAAAATATTACACACCTTCTTCCTGAGGGTTCTGTGTCCTTTTCTTGGACTCACAGCTACACATTTTGGGCAGCAAGTTCCCTTGTTCCCTCGGCAGCTGCCTGCGCGCAGTCCTCCGGACAGCCTAGGCCTGGGAGAGACCGCCTTGGATTTAGCTGGGCCTAAGAAAACACAGGCGGAGCAGTGAGAAAAACATTATCTTCCAATGCCCCTTCCTTTCAAGACTCAGGAAATCTGCTTCTTGTCAGTGCTCTTATCATTGCTGTGAAGTTTTGATTTTTCCCATCTCCAGTGGTGGTTTAAAAGCAGCTTAGAGTAGAAGCTGAAATGGCCTCCTGTATTTAGGGAGCAGAAGCCCCACCTGCTCTCCCTGGGGCACCTCCCAGTGGCCAGGGCCAGGGGGCATGTCTGATGATGGAGACAGTTGGAGCCACTTCAGCACTGGCGCCGAGTTTATTCCATCTGCTGATATTTAGATTGTGGTGGGGAGGGCAGAATGCCTGATGATGCCATCAGTTCACCACCATGCAACAGGTAGCCTGCTTTCCAGCTACTTTGTGTGACATCCAGACTTTCTGGCATCAAGGTTTGGTGGCTCACAGGGCTTGAGGCCACACCACTCTGTAACTCCCATTTTTTTAGTGATTCCCTCACCCGTGGTGGATCTACCTAAGATCACAGTGGCCACGGTGATATGCTATTTTGGGTTACTGAAAACTGAAACCTGTTTTTCGTTGAAGACATTTTGTCTAACAGTTTAGTAACCTTTATACCAAGAATAGCAGGAATCCTGTCTGTCGGATCAGGCAGTGGTACTATTAAGGAAAGATGAAAGATTGGTTTTCAGAGTCATTGAAGTTCTGGTGACATTTTAAATAAAAATTGAATACTTCTCTTCCACCAAAGACATCTAAACTTATTTGATTGAAGCCTTGGGATGCCTAAAGTCATTGTGGTTGAGATTATGTCTGTTTATGGCTGATAAAAATTATCGTAAGTGTATAGAGTCTTATGTTGGGGACCTTGCTGTCCATCTGGGAGACCATCTGCAGAAAATCCCAATAGCTGTAGTTCACTTCTCATTTTTCAGAATAGAGATTGATTATGAAGGAGGCACAAAACAAATTAATAAACAGAAAAACCAAATATTTGATTATGGCATTAACTTTATGGTCATTTCTAGAGGAGACATTAACTAGGTTCTGATTCTTGGAACAGATTAGATGTTGGCCTTGCATCCAGCTCCACAGAATGATGTCCCCAGAAGGCCTTGCTTGCACCTGGACACTGATGTCTGAGGAGTGTGCTTCCCTGAGCTTTCCATGGGCTAATCTTAGAGGGCAGGGCTCTATGATCCTGGCCTTGACCGAAGAGGGAAGGATAGATTGGAGGTTTTTCCAAAGACTCACTGGAATTTGGGGATAAAATATTTAATAGATTGAAAGCCTTTATAAGGGGGAACTCTGGTCTCCCTGTGGAAGATGACCAAATATGGTCAAAATGTTCCCATTTCTGGTGGATCAATCAATCCTTAAGTATTTTTAGAATAACGTCCATGGTTAAAATTGGGATCCAGATTTTCTAATGAGCAATTTGCAGAAAGAACCCACCTGCATCAAATGGCAAAGTCAGAACCACATGCAGGAGTAAACTGCACAGCCCTTGCTTAGCAACATGCCTGTTTGTAGCTCACTGGGGGATGGAGTGCCCTCCAATCCAGACTCTACGCTAAGAAATTAGGTAATTCAATGACAATAATAATTTTAGCTGCAGTTTAAGGAACGTTTACAGCTTTGAAACAGGAAATGGAAAACAATAAGTAAGAAACTATAAAATAAATTGAGCACATAGCTTTCTGTTACATTTTATACCCAGTGGTACAGAAAGTTTACTTAAGGAAATGACAAGGCTTATTTAGAGGACCAGCAACTTATGGAGTCTTTTATTGAAATGAAAATGGAAGCAATGTTGGGTACTCTTAAGGCTTAGTTTTTTTTTTTTTTTTTTTTTTTTTTAATTTCTTTGTAAATTCCCAATTGGGAAGCTTTAATATGTGTCTAAAAGGATTTAAAGACATTTTTCTTTTAATATTTACATGCCATATTATAATAAGATGAGCCTTTGCTGTGAATTTGAATCTGAGTATTAATGTCAGCTGTATTTTATTGAGTGATTATAGTGAGCCAGGCTCTGTATTAAGCACTTAAAATGCCTGAGCTTATTTAATTTATTTAACATTATGATGTAGGTATTATTATTATCTCTATTTTACAGACGAGAAAACTTAAGATTAGAAAAAATTATGCAGCTTGCCTAGAATATGGCTTCTAGCAAATGTTGTAAAGGAACTCAGATCTGCCCATTCCCAGAGCCTGAGGTCTTGATCTATTCTGCTGACTTAAATTCTGTATCATTGGTTTCATACCCTGAAGCTTGGGAACTCCTGTGGAGCCCTAGAGGGACGTTTAAGGAATATTTCAGTGAGCTGTACACACTACAACTCCCATATTGTATTGTAGTTTTAAAAAATAGTTTCTTTAAAATAAATGCAAGAGGGGTCTCTGAACAATACACTCAGGTCTCTGAACAAACTGGCTGAATTGACCATGAACTATTTTTCTAGCATTTGGACTTTAACAGAAGCAGAGCAAACTTGGGATGACCACACCCTTCCTGGGCTTCAAGGACTTTAAAAATGTCCTGGCTGCCCCAGAAGGTGGAGAGCTCTGCACTTCAGCATTGGTGGTGTGTGTTGTCTGAATGAAATGGGTTAGGGGTAGTAGGAAGGTAAGAGGATTTATAGCCTAAAGAAGGTCAGGGAATCCCAGTGGCCCACCTGCTTTAGAGTCTCAATTTTCTCAACTTTAAGTGGAAATGATATCATTACCTATATAATCTGAGTGTTGTTAAATGCATTAAATTAGACAATACATGTGAATAAAGCTTATGAGTTATTATTTTGGAGGTATTTAATGTGTTCTCCCCTCCTTGACAGTGGGCTGATATTTTACCATCCTGTTTCTAAGGCCCTGTTAAAGTTATTTTTCTGAGCGTGCTCTATCCATCAGGATCCTGGCAGGAAACAGATGGTGCACTCATGCTGGGAAGAGTTTAATAAAGGAACTGTTTACAAAAGTGTGCACAGGATTTAGGAAAAGCAACAATGGATGTTGCAGAGCCCCAGTAGAGGGCCATTACCAACACTAAGCCAGAAGGGTGGAAGGAAAGGAGTGTTACCAGCACCTAGAGAGGTTTTTGAGAGGGCTGCCTGATAGCAACTGTGGCCTTTGGTAGAGGAATGCAATCAACTCACAGAAACCTACCAGGGAGAGATCTTGGGGAAAAAATATCCTGACCTCACTTTCCTCCCTCCCTTTAATCTCCTGCAGGTATTCTTTGCTGGTTGAATGCAAATGGAAGCCGGAGGAAAAGGGAACCCTTGACTCCGTGTTCATATAGATTGGCCTCCAGGGCAGACAGCTGGTGGAGAGTGGAGAGTGGAGCTGAGGGACAAACAGCAGGTATGGAGCACAGCATGTGGCCCTCCACATGTTTACCAGTAACCTTCATCACTCTTGCCAGATTGGACTCAGAATCAACTCAACCCATAATTATGCTGTCGTGGTGCCTCTACCTCCTTTTCTGTGTTTTCTCAACTTCCAGAAACTTGCATTCTCCACTTCCAAGCTGTCTTGTGTTCTTTTGCTCCTCTAAGTCTTCTTATTGTGGAAAAATGAACACAAAAAGTTAACTCACACACTTAAATGTCTTACACCTAATTGCTACTTTAAAATATGCATACTTATTTTCACTCCTGGGATGGCTGAATTGCTACTAGACTGACCACAGATAAACAATACAAAGAACAACTATCTGAAGGCATCAGAAAGTGAGTAACTGTAAGCAGATTATGGGGGTTAGTTGGCACATGTGTGAAAGGATAAGACAAGGTGTGTCTTCCCCTATTTATGGTTTTTAGCTTAAGAGCAGAGAGCTCTTAGCCCATAGTCTTTCTGGCCTGATGAACTAGAAGGAAGAGTTGAGAGCAGCCAGAGCCAGGAGAAAGTGAGAGAAAACCTCTAAAAGAAGAGGGCCAGAGAAGGGATCCCCAAATCCCATGCATCAGGTGCCCAACTTTCTGGCTGAGTCCCAAACTTTGTGTGCATATGGCACACTGCAAGAAGCTCGGTAAAAGGTCAATGACCTAACTGAGATAAGAGCTACTGCCCAAAAGACGGAGTTTGCAGTTTTGCCAAAACAAAAAATCACACTCATTGGGAGACGTGTAACAGAAATGCAGAATCTTCTTAACAAAACATTCCCAATGTCCAGGAAACCATCCAGAATTACCCAACATACAAAGAGCAGGAACCAGATTCCTGACCTATTCTCAAGAGGAAATACAATCAATGAAGATCAATCTTGAGATGACTTAGATATTAGAATTAATAGATGTAGATTTTAAAGCAACTGTTACTACAGTAATTAAAGGAACATTTATATTTTTATGTGTTTGTATTAGAAAAGAAGAAAAGTCTACATTAATGACCTAAGGCTACCTTAAAAAGCTGAAAAGATTAGAATAAGTTAAATCCCAATGCAGTAAAAGAGTAGAACTAATTAAGGTAAGAACAGATATCAACAAAATAGAAAACAACATTAGAAGAACTATGCTGGTTATAAGAGATGCAGTTTAAGTATAAAGACACAGATAGGAATAAAGTCGATTCTTAAAAAGATCAAGAAAATTGATAGAACCATAGCTAGACTGATCAAGAGAAAAAGAACAGAAATGATCAATATCAGGAATGAAAAAGGGGATATTACTACAGATCCTGCAGATATATAATAAGACGATATGTTGACTACCCTTTTTGACTGCTGATTCCTGGACACTAGGAGTCCAACATGCCTTGTCAACAATCATAAATTATAGCTCAATGGGACACTTGCTGTGTCCTCTGGCAAAAATGTGCCCTTCTAGGGTCAAAGCCTGCAGAACCCAGAATTATGGGGGAGGAAGGACAAAAATCCCCCAATGGGTTACTGGGAGTGATGACAAGTGTAATCCTTCCTATTTCCACCCGTTGGGTCCATGTTCGGTACGTTGGAACATATTCAGAGCTTTTTGGGTGTAAAGATTTGGATACAGGAACACTGTCATTGAGAGCAGTGCTCCAAAATTCCTTCCATAAATACTGAACTGTCTCCATTACCATGGTCAGATTTCCATATTTTTTTCACCCCTAGCCATGTAACATACCTCAAAGCAGACTCTTTGCTTGAACAGCTTATCCGTTTGCTGCCTACCACTTCTGCAGAAGAAAAATGGAGTGGAGTCAGGGAAAGAACCTAGTTCTTTCTGCAGGAGAGACAGTTAATGCTTATGGTGTGCATTTTTATATGCCCCAGTCTCCCTAGCAGTTCAGGGCCGTGTGATTTGTTCTGGCCAATGAGTATGAGCAGATCTTCTGAGTTGAGGCAGTGAAGAGCCAGTGTGGTTCCTCTGTGGCTCTCTTTTTCGGGTATGGCAACCTTGGAGGCCATGTGTTCCAGATGCTGTAGCTGTGAGCTGCGGGAGCACTGTCCAACAAACAACAACTTTATATCCTGTCAAAGTAACCTTTATCCTGCTAAGCCTCTGAGATTCCTGCTTTGCTTGTTGTGGTAGCAAGTGCTAATTACCTTGACTAATAAATCTATTCTCTACACACCTGCCAATCAATAAATTTCAGAACCCTGATTATAAATGTTTTCACAGTTGGACAACTAAGAGTTTATTGTAAGTTGCTATGCACTTAGCATTTTGCTGGGTGTTTTGTTATCAGTACCCACTCCGAGTGGGTGGAGCCCCGTTTCGTAATGGGTTATGGACTCCTTGTATCAGCAGGTGAATAGAGGTTAAGAAGCATCACGAGTCAGCTTTATTTAATTCTTATCTGGACATGGACAAGGTTACAGACTACCCAGATATGCAGAGGGTATTCAGTGCTACATATTCAAGCTCCTTTCCTGGCTAAATTTCTGTTGGTTGCTCCCATTCCTATAACTGGAACATCACCTGTTAATTTCTTAATGTATGTGCACACAACAGATTCTTACTATGTATTCTTTGTCTAGCCAGGTGCATTACAACTTCTTCTACCATGCCACCTCATTTGGTTATCTGAGTCTTGGGGTTAATTTCTGAGCAATTAATGCCACTGTGGTCATTGTTGTTTCTTATTTTTCCTCTCCTTTTTAGGCTCAGTCTTATCAGATTGGATGCCTCTTGCCTTGAACCCACACTTTGTTGCCTCATCCTTATGACTCCTCTATTTCCCTCTTCGTCCTTTTATTAAACAAAACTTATTAACTCTGCAATCAGACCAGCAGCATTGTGCAATAGGCACAAATGTTAGGTGCCTTACACATGCAATTTTGTGCCCAACTTTGGCAGCAGTTGTTTTCATTCTGTCTTCACAGATGAGGAAATGGAGGCCCAGTGAAGACACAAGAGAAGTATTAGTGACCTGCTACTTTTAGATGTAATCTGTATAGAGAAATAATACGGATATGAAAGAAGTTGTTAAAAATAATAGCAATATCTGTATATTGTAAACCAGCAGTCCCCAATCTTTTTGGCACCAAGGACAGGTTTTGTGAAAGACAATTTTTTCCACAGACCAGGGGCAGTCGAAGGATGGTTTCAGGATGATTCAAGCACATTATATTCATGTCGCACTTTATTTCTATTATTATTACATTGTAATATGTAATGAAATAATTTTACAACTCACCATAATGTAGAATCAGTGGAAGCCCTGAGCTTGTTTTCCTACAACTAGACAGTTCCACATGGGGTTGATGGGAGACAGTGAAAGATCATCAGGCATTAGATTCTCATAAGGAGCATGCAACCTAGACTCCTCCCATGTGCAGTTCACAATAGGATTTGCGCTCTTGTGAGGCCCTAATGCCGCTGCACTAATGCCGCTCCGCTGACGGGAGGCGGAGCTCAGGCGGTAATGTGAGCCGTGGGGAGCAGCTGTAAATATGATGAAGCTTCCCTTGCTCGCCCACCACTCACCTCCTGCTGTGCGGCTTGGCTGCTAACAGACCATGAACCAGTATTGGTCCACACGGCCCAGGGACTGGGGATCCCTGTTGTAAACTACTTAACATTGCTAAGAAAAACTAAAGAAGATATAAATAAATGTAACAATATGCTGAATTCTTGGAATGGAAGAATCAATATTGTTAATTGTCCCCAAACTGATGTATAAATTCAAAGCATTCCCAGTGAAAATCCCTGAAGGCTTTTTTTTTTTTTTTTTGTAGAAGTTGATAAGATGATTCTAAAATTTACATAGAAATACAAAGGACTTAGAATAGCCAAGATAATTTTGAAAAATAACAAAGTTGGGGGACTCATACTACCTAATTTGAGACATAAAACTATTGTGATCAAGGTAGTGTGGTAATGGTATCAAAATGTACAATATATAAGTAGATAAAATGGAAACATAAATCTCATGTATCTGGTCAATTGACTTTTATAAAGGTTTAAAGGCACTTCAATAGAGAAAGCATAGACTTCTTAACAATTGATCATCCATTCGTAAAAACAGGAAAAAAAAGGCAGAAAACTCCTTTGATTCAAACCTTGCAACATATCCAAATCCAAAAGAGATCATAGGCCTACTTTCAAGATCTAGAAATGTAAAATTTCTAGAAGGAAATAGAAGAGAACATCTTTGTGATACGGTATTAGGAAAAGTTTTTATAAATCCCATACCAAAAGAATAAACTATAAAAGAAAAAAATATAAATTGGACTTCATTCAAATTAAGAGCCTCTACTCTTTGCAAGAAACTTAAGAAAATGAAGAGTAGCTACCTATTGGAAGAAAATATTTTCAAATCACATATCTAATAAGAGAATTGCATACAGAATATACAACGAATTCCCATAACACAGTAATAAGAGAACAAATAAACCAGTAAAATAGGGCAAAATATTTGAACACATACTTTACCAGAAAGGACATATGGATGGCAGATAAATGCATTAAAAATGTTCAATATCATTATTCCTTAGGAGCAGATTAAAACCACACTGATATAGCACTACACATCTGTTAGAATAAAGACTGACCACGGCAAGTTGAGGGTAGGTAGCAACTGGAACTCTCATGTACTGCTGATGGATGTGTAAAATGGTACAATCATTCTAGAAAATAGCTAGTTTCTTTAAAAGCTAAACATATAGATAGCAAATAACCCAGTCATTTTACAGGTATTTACTGAAGAGCAATCAAAGTATATGTCTATACAAGGACTTGAACATGATTATTCATAGAAGCTTTATTATAATAGTCCAAAACTAGAAACAACCCAAGTGTCCATCAGTGTCCATCAATAGGTGAATGGATAAACAAACTGTGGTATAGCTGTACAATAGGATACTTATCAATGAAAATAAATGAACTATTAGCACGTGCAACATGAGTGCAATTCAGTGTAATTACACTGATAGAAGCAGATAAAAATGACATACTGCATGATTCTATTTATACACAAATCTAGAAAATTCAGACATTTATAGTGACAGAAAGCAGATAATAGTTGCCTAGGGATAGGGGGAGTGGAGAGTAGTGGAGGAAAAGGATTTCAAAGGGGCTAGAAAAACATCTTGGGATGATGAATATGTTCATAATCTTGATTGTGGCGACAGTTTTACAGGTATATGTATATGTATAATGTCAAACTTATCAGATTGTACATTTTAAGTATATTATTTTATATCATTTACACCTCAATAAAGGTGCTAATAGCAATAAATAGGGGATATTTATTGAAAGGCAGGTGATGATAGGGTAAATCAATTTAGCTTTGAAACCAGGATGCCTGGGTTACTATTTTTTTTTCTTCTGTTCACTGGTTGTATCACTTTGAATTGGTTAACTCTTCTGGGCCTGTTTTTCTACATCTAAAATGGAGAAAACTATTTCGACTTCTGTGGGTTCTTGTGAGCATTAAGTTAGTTTATGAATGTAAAGCACTTATGGTACTCCCTGGTATGTAAGAAGTATTTAACAAATGTTAAGAAATTATTATGCACTGGGCACTATTGGAAGTGTTTTATGAGAATTATCTCATTTAAACTTCACAGCCCTCTGAAACAAGTAACAATATCCTTATCCTGTGTACCAATATCTAAGTAAAAAGGAGAAAACCAAGTTGCAAAGAGGAGGTTTAATTTATCCCAGAGTGGTTACATAGGAGGCAAGAAGCAGAAGCCAGATTTGAGTAAAGGCAGTCAAACTCCAGAACCCACACTTTTAATCCTGTGAATAAGTGCTAACAGGTGGGGCACTGACTCAAGTGCTAATAAGAAAGTTGTCTAGACAGTGCCCATGTTTTGTGAGCATTTCATTCTGTGAGCCATGTGAAACTACTGAAGACCAACATGTTTGGGCAGCTTTCTGAGAGTGCCTCTTATGATTACTCCTGGCAATCATCTTAGTACTCATCAAACCTATGTCTTCTTCCTGGGCACAGAATCAAACTATTTCCCAGCCTTCTTGTGTCTGGTGAGATCATGTGACTAGTTCTTGCCAATGCAATGTGAGCAAAAGCAGTGCGTCATTTCTAGTCCAAGGCAGGTAAGAGTGGGTGGGCTTTCTCTTTTCTCTACTCTCCCTACTCATTTCTGCTGGTTTGTGTTTCAAATGGAGGAACCACAGCATGGGAGAAGGCTGCTTCCTCAAAGACCACCTGGAGCAGAGCCCCTGTTGCTGACCTGTACAGAACCATACTTTATGTGTTAAGTCACTGAGATTCTGAGATTATTTATTAAAACAAGTAACATGGCATTGCCAATGTGCTACTCTTATGTCAGTATGTCCCTGTTATGCCAATATGTTACTCTTATGAAATACTACCCTTGCTCAAACATTCCATCTCTAAGAATTTCTAAAATATGGGTCAAATACATAGACTGACTCTTTTGCTAGGAGATGGACCACAGAGTTTTGTAGTAGAAGTTTAAGTGACAGGAAATAATATGTAATTAGTAGGAGATAACATATGAATGGCACATGGAATAAGAGTTTCAATATTTATTTATTTATTTATTTTGAGATGGAGTCTTGCTCTGTTGCCCAGGTTGGAGTGCAGTGGCGCCATCTCAACTCACTACCACCTCTGCCTCCCGGGTTCAAGTGATTCCCTTGCCTCAGCCTCCTGAGTAGCTGGGATTGCAGGTGTGCACCACCACGCCTGGCTAATTTTTGTATTTTTAGTAGAGACAGGGTTTCACCATGTTGGTCAGGCCGGTCTTGAACCTGACCTCGTGATCCGCCCGCCTCAGCCTCCCAAAGTGTTTCAATATTTAAATTCCTTCCAGGTTATAATATTTAAATATCCTTCATCTCACTCATGGAGCCTGAGTGATGACCAGTGTTCTTCATTCCAATTCCCTGTTGGCCTTTGCTCTGTGTGTATCCTGTTTCTTGGGGCTTTAGTTGTGGACTTCACCTCTTGGCTTTCCAAGATCCACAAGAAACTGAGTTATCTCTGGCCATCTCAGATGTATAATTATCTCCTTTGGTTGTTTTAAAACCTACCAGTCACATCTCAAAAACCTATTCAATGGGACAGGTTGCCACCATCTGGTTTTCAACTGCCATTTTTTTCTTTCTTGCTCGTTGGAAGGTTTGTCTTCTAATTATTTTATCAGCTTCCCATATGTGATGTGTCTTCTTTCATACTGTATCCTGTCTGTACTATGACAAATCATGGTCTGCAGACAGCGCTCTGGTTCCTGGCCCACAGCTGGGTTGCAACTCCATCAGTTTCCCAGCACCAGAGTCTTCTCTTGGGTTTCTGGGGTTCCAAATGAGAGAGAGAAAAAGAACACTCAGCACCCTGGCTTGGGGACCATATGTGACAGCCTGAACACATAGCATTATTTTTATGTTTTCCCTTGTTTCTAATTCTGTACTGGAACAACAATAACAAAAAAGGGCCAGAGACTTTGTATTACTGGAGTTCAAGAGGTATAGGGAGAGGACAGCTGTTCATAATGCTGGATAGTGAGGACCTCATGTCATCATCATGGAGAGGGGCTTGATTCTAGGCATCTGGTTCTGAGCACCTGCTGCTTTGGCAGAAGGTGATCGAGCACTCAGCACAGCACTTCAGAGGCTATCCAGAGGCTATCCAGAGGGGACTGTGATCCCGTAGCCCTATGCTCCCATTTTACTGATGAGGAAACTGAACCCTAGAGTCAAATTGAGAGTTCCTCAAAGATAGTCAACAGATTGAAGCCAGTCTGAGAACCACTTACTCCTGGTGGTTGGAATATAGGAAGTGAGAGTAAGTTTTAAAAAACTTTTAAGGTAATTTGACAGAGAGATTTTAAGTCATCTAGGCCTATATTTCATATGTCTTTAAAAGTCCAGGTATGATGTCATTTGTTTTATTTTTTATAATAAACTTTATTTTGGGAACAGTTCTAGATTTACAGAAACATTGAGAAGATAGTACAGAGAGTTCCCACATAGTCTACACTATCTTATAGTGTAGGATAGTAAAATTAATATATTATGTTAGTTACAATTAGTGAACCAATACTGATACATTATGATTCATTGAAATTCATACTTTATTCAGATATTCTTAGTTTTTAACCTAATGTCCTTTTTCTCTTTCAGAATCCTATCCAGCGATACCATATTACCACTGATCATCATGTCTCTTCTTGATTATGACAATTTCTCAGACTTTTCTTGGTTTCCATGACTTTGAAAGATTTGAAGATTATTAGGCAGGTGTTTTGTAGGATGTCCTTCAATTGGGATTTGCCTTTCTCATGATTAAACTGGGCTTATGGGTTTGGGGGAGGAAGACGAGAGAGCTGAAGTGCCATTTCCACCACGTCATATCAAGGCTACATACTATACACATGACTTATCACTGTTGTTGATGTTGACCTTGGTCATCTGACAGAGACAGTCTTTGCCAGTTTTCTTTACTGTAAAGTTATCTTCTTCCCTGTCCTTACTTTCATACTATGCTCTTTTGAAGGAAGTTAGTATGTGTAGGCCACACTTAAGGAGTGTGGAGTTGCAATTTATTTTAGTGTACTTGACAATAAATTGGTTTGTGATATATTGAAAATGAAAATGGTCCTCCAACACTGCTCATTTGAGAAGCACTGCTCTAAAAACTCTGCGTTAAGGGCACACAGAAGAAACGCTGGGACAGAGCCCAAGGCATCTTGGCTTCAGTCCCAGGTCCTGTCATTCCCCAGAGCCTAACTTGTGCATCCATCTAACTGTGGGGCCAATTTGGCTGGCTCTGTAACACCACAGACTACCCCATAACTTTCCATGAATCTTAAGAAGTGCTTCAAGTCTTGGTGGACGTTTCTGGAATACTAGTTTCCTCGAACCTTGATGCATTCATTTGTCAGAGTTCCTGTTTTAGGTGAAGTTCAATGACAAATAGGTTCTGAGATGGAGATTTGTACACAGAAAATTCTTTTGGGGAGTGATAGGAGAAGGACAGGGCAGAAGGAGAAGTCAAATGTCGATGCAGTCCAAATAAAAGCCCCTGCCAATCTTACGGGGAGCTTTGGACCTGGGATGGCCTTTCAGAGTTGTTCTGAAATGAAGCAGAAAGATCAGCTTTGACTGCACCCCTATCCCCCACCGAACCCACCCAACACATACACATTGACCAGGTATTGCATTGGATACTGACTGTCTTTGGGAGGGAGGTGTCATTGGGAAAGGTGGCCCCCCTAGCCCGTGGACATAACTTAAAAAGGAACTCAGCTAAGCCACCAGAAGTCAACACTCCTGGCAGCTGGGGGATGAATACTTAGGACCTGATGAAAGATCTGGATGGCACCCTGCAGCACTTGCCGCAGATACGATGACTGTTTTCAATTCTTTTGCCTTTGTGTTGTGTCTAGATTCCAGGAACCAGGAGGTTGTTTGCTGTACTCTCCCTTGTACAGTTAGCTGTCTCTAGTGCCTGAATGCACTAATTGTCCTTTGGGTATGGATGAGGTAATGAAGGAAAGGGATGCTGGGAAGAGAGGCCACATGAGAAGGTTAGTGTGGGCGTAAGACACAATGCAGAGGATTTGTGTTTGTGCCATCTGCCTGCTTCTATGATTCATCTGGGTCTGTGCACCCTTGTAATCAGCAGGCTGCAGTGAACTAAGTGTTGCTTGCTAAAGAAAAATGAAAGCTGGGACTTCAGCAGGGAGGAAAGTATATGCCTTACCGTGATGAGTGCAAACAAACACACAGCATCGGGGAAGCCACGCAGAATGAAGCTCTGAGAAGACTGTTAGTGTTTCCCCCCACCATGTCTCAGGGGAAAAGGTGTAAGTAACAGAATTATTCCAATTGGTCAAGAATTCATCTTTCCTGTCAGTTGTCTCTTGTGGGAGTTCAAACTTGCTCAGTCCCACCCGTTTTGATTGAAAGTGAAAAGAAGGACATTTTAATTTAAGAGCAGAAGATGGAACTTGAGAGCAGAACAAATTTGGCAAATGTAAATTCTTATCCAAAACCCATGCTTCCTGTACTTGGCACCTTGTTTCCCCAATTCTGCATGATGTCCATCTCTTTTTCTCATTGCAGCTTGAATTCAGGCATGCGTCTTTCCTCTCAGCTTCACTATGCGTAAGAGAATACTTGGCATGAGTGAGCTCATCCTGGCTGATAGGAAACACTTATAATTAGGCAAAGAAACTCAAAAGAACTGAAGCCCTTTTCCCTCCATGAGCATCTTTCACTAACTGCCCTAGGAGTTGGTGCCTACCGTTTGGATTAGATTTAGCTACGGGGCAGGATAGGGTTAAAGGAGTTAGAAAGAACTGAAATGAAAATGAAAACTTTTTTCCCTATTAAGATAGCAGAAGTTCAAATGTGAATCACCGTTTTGCATAATAATCATGGCCATATAATAATAGATAACATTGTTGAGTTCTTTCTTAGTGCTGAGCGCTGTGCTAAGCACTTTGTAGGGGTTATCTCATTTTATGTTCATCATGACTCAGTAATGCGGATATTATTACAACCTCTCAAGACGGATGATGAAACTAAGACTTGGAAAGGTTGGGCAAGTTGCCTAAGTGTGGAGGTAAAATTCAAATCTAGGTACCAATGTTTCTGAACCACCCCTGTACTGCTTCAGTAGCTATGGGATGGGGATGGGGGAGTGGTTTGAATGGGGAAATGGAAAATGTCCTC